CAGGATGCGTGGGGTCTTATTCCCCAGGCTTGCGCCACCCCGTGGCAAATCAGAGACCAGCAACCGTTAGGAAAAAAAGCCCTTGTTCTGGAAGGCTCGCTGCTCTTTTTCTTTCAGAAAGGCATGTGTGACAACTGGCTGACGTTCCAGGGACCAAGTTAAGGAAGAGTGTCAGACCCAGATCTTCAAACCACCACTCAGGATCCATACTTGAAAAGCAACCATTTATTAGAACCAATACAAGAGTATGAAAAGAGGGAAAAGAGGAGGGTGGAAGAGGGGGAGAGAATGAGGTCTGCATCAATGTCAGTTGTGGAAACACATAAATTGCCTACTTTTAAACATTTACATTTAAAAGGCGAACATATATATATCACTTATCCTAAAAAAATAAAAAAATGAAAAGCCGACATGTTTGGCTGAACTAAAACCAAGAAACAACCAAAACTCCCCCACAAACCAAAAGGTCCATAGAGAATTCAATTTCCCATTTTTCCACTTAGAAATCTGGCTACCAAGTGTGATGTGTTTTCCTACACAGGATGAGACAGTGTGGAGAGCCCAGCCTCGAGTCCTTCACGTCCCATCCTGTGGGACAGGGAGGCAGAGCTGCCGGGCCACGGGTGAGTCAACTCCTGGCTACCTGGCAGGAGGCAGACTGCTCTCTCCATCCCCCACAACTCCACAGGACCACCTGGCGCTGCCCGAGCTGGGTGAATAGAGCAAAGTCCACAAAGCACGGAGAACCGGAATGTGACCACAGCAAGGGGCCAGAACCTTGTGCTTTTTCCATGGGTTACACGTCTAGGGCCAAGGAGAGGGAAAGGACAAAGAGCCCTGTTGGGAAGAGGAGCTGGCTAAGCCCACATCTGGGCAAATAGAAATCGTGTCCAAAGTTTTCCCAAACTGGAGGGAAAACAGGTCAAAGTCAGGTTCAGACTGTGGACACAGAAAAAGATGACAAATGAGTACAGTAAAGTCGGATGAAGCTTGAAGAGTGTTAAACATATCTCTAAAAAAATTTTTTTTCCCAAGATGGCTCTTTTTTGGTAGGGGATGGGGAAAGTGGTTATGTTTATTGAACCAGCTGGTTCCTGTAGGGAGGCAAGAGGGGGTGCGGTGACTCAGTTGGGGGGGCGCACGATAAAAGCAACAATATAAATTAAGCCCACTGTGTTCACTTTGCTCCCGAGACAGCTGGAGTCTGTCCCAATCCCTTGGGGAATGGGACCTTAATTCCCAACCTGCAGAGAGAAACAAGCAGTAGCATCCCTGCCTCACAGTTCCCTAATCCAATGCTCCTGGGTCTGAGACAGCCTCTCTTTGTGGATGCAAGACATAGAAAATACTAAGTGCCTTCCCCCTATAACATCCTACGTCTGGACTATTAAGACTCCAACATTCACAAAAACACTGTCAACATCTGAACTAGCAGCTTTGAGGAGGGGTGGGGGGCAGAGAACTTGCCGAGGTCACTAGTAGTTCCAACCTTGGGACAGCTCAGTGAGGACTGAAGCCTATGTCAGGCCTAGACTTTAGACTTCGGCTCAAGGCATCCTCCATCGAGGACCCTAAAGTGTTCTACCAACTTTGATTTGCAATGCCTCACAACACCCCTGTGAGGTAGGTCAGTATCATTAACCCCATTTGACAGATGGGGAACTGAGGCATTGAAAGGAGTGACTTGCCCAAGGTCAGCCATTATGAACCAGTTGAGGAGGTTGGCACAGTCAGCATCCACTCACGTCTTGTTTCACTCCCTAGGGCACCTTACCTCTTAAGAGCGCATTTGCTCGCAAAAGAAGTCAGCAGGTACACTTCACTCTGCAAACTAGATGAACTTAGCCAACCCACAACTATTAACAGAGGGCCTATTCTTTATCCGGCATAACGCCATGAACCTTGGAGACACAAACTGCTTCTGAAAGTCATGTGTTAGTGATGTTTTGCAAATAAAATTACATTTTAAGCATTAAGGGCATGATTCTTTTGTAAAGAAATACACACTTTCTCTTAAAGAGGTGAAAGGTCTATACTGAGTAACCCCTATCCCTAAATCCTAAAACCCAAGAACAAGACCTCATTCGAACAAGAACGCAAGAACCCTATCCCCAGGGCCAGTCTCGGTGGTGTCCTGAGTCGCAAGGCCGGGGGAGGGAGCGCAGGCCTAGCAGCAGCAGTGGCACCAATGGGAGGCACTCTCCCCAGGCTAAGCCAGGCCAGGTGGCAGGACGTGGCCCCCTCCTGCTGCCGCGGCCCCCTCCTGCTGCCGCTCATCCCTCCCCTCAATGCCCACAAGGCAGCATCTTTCCAACTATTCTGCACCAGTCTAACTTCAGGAGTTGCCAGGATCTTCATGAATGGCTCTCGAGATTAAGGATATAAATGGTGACCCCTCGTTTTCCATTCAGAGAGGGGAATGAAGTGTTCTCTAGGACTAGCTGTAAGACTCTTGTAATATTCTTTAATACCCTGGCAGGAGCGTAACTCTTTGATGAAAGCTTGAAAGAAAGAAAACCTTCCCCCTCTCTGGACTTACAACTGGATTCTGGTGGTAATCATTATGACCCTTATCCTAAAACTAGGGGAAAAAAACTAAAACCACAGTCAGCCCTAGTTTAGAATCAAATTCTAAAGCTACTAGAAACTGTAAAACACAGACTTTAAAAGTGCTGTGACATGACTGAACTCTATCTTCTTGGGTCTCCTTGAAGACTCTCCAGGCAGAAAGCCCCTCTTTTCCTCTGCACCCCCTTGCAATAGCCAGAGCAGCAGGACTCTCCATACATCAGAAGCTCAAAGAATGATCTACCAATACACATGGTATAATGTCCACCAGGGATGCTCTCATTCCAGGAAGGACCAAACCATCACAAGACCTAAATATTAACCTTTTTCCATTGATTGCTGATCACACTGGACAAGCCCAGGTGATGATCATGTTCAAGACATTAAAATGACAGTTTAGTCTGTTTGGAATTCCTCAAAAAGTGTGATGAACTGGCCACCGGCACCTAGGATCAACTATGAGGGTCACACCTGCCAATGCCAAGGGACATCGCTCGCCCGCTCTCACACACACAAACAGAATGGCAAGATAAAAAGTTCACTGCATTCAATTTAGCCTAATTTCTTGATAATAGTTTCCTATTAGATTTTCCGATTAATACTGATGGCTCTTACCTAGGCTGTGATAATTAGGTTTTGATCTATTGTGACATTAATGATCACAATCAGTTGACTTGGAAATTGTCTTAATTAATGGCTCTTCCCTCCTCAGCTGCCTCCAGTGCAGGTTCTGTCCCCTGCCCTCACCACCTTGTTTTAACTCTTTCCTACTACTGATCCCAGAGACAAACAGCATTGGAGGACCACTTCCCGTAAGCCAAGATTTCTAACTATTTTAAAACAGTTCTCGGACGGAAGAACAATATGAGATGATGAGGATCAGGATGAGAAGAGAACATGCTGTCAAGGCATAGAAAAAAAATTCTATGTTAGAAAACAATCAAAGTCAAGCATGATGTGAGAGTGGCAATGACAAGCCGAAGTAACTTCTAAAAAGACAAGATGAGGTAGTTTAAAATTCAAGAAATCCAGCGCAAGCACAAAGAAATTAGAATTATTTTTATGAAGCTATCCAAAGAACCTTCACATTTCAATTTTCCAGAACACTTACTCTTCATTCCTGGGAATTCTGACTTCCGAAGTTAGTCAACTCTCAGTGATCCAGACAGAGAAAAGTACCTTTTTCTTGTAATTACACAGTTCAGAATTAAGACATTTCTTAGACCGTTTCTTACTTAGCAGGGCTAAGGCCTCACCTAGACTTCCCTAGATTGATTAAATCTGCAACTCCAGGTATGTGCGCTTCCTAGAGAGGTTTCCACATAATTGACACACGTCTGCTTAGAAATCACCACGCTGCAGTGTTGAATAAAACTACACTACACACAGTAGACGCTCATGTGTTAACAGGTGTGCCCGACGCCTTCTTTTTAGCAAACCTCTCGTCATTGAAAAGTATGTCCTTGTTTTAAACTTAAAGCCAACCTCACGATAATTCTTCCAAAAGTGACGAGAAACTGAAAAAGGTGTGAGCGACTCTGATAAAATGTCCATGAGGAATAAACATCACAGAACCCATAGTAATATGACAACACAAAGGTGGGTCTGCAACATAGATAATACATTCCACAAGCAAGGATTAACTAGACCATAAGTACTTTGGCAAAGAGCCCAAAACAGGGATCAACACGAGGGGCTTCTCAATCCACCACACTCATCAATCCCTACTCACCTGTTGTTTTCTCTCTCAGCAACAGCACGGCTAACCAACCTTCAGCTATCCTTATTTTCTGGAATAAAACAAGCCCTCGTTGTAGTCCACCTATGGCCGTTAGCTAAGTTCATCCAAGGTCACAGGTCTATCCCCCTATGAACCATCACCCACCTACTGTCCCCAAATCAGAAATGTGTACCTATTTGTAGCACTTAGTACATTGCACTATTAACACTCAGTTCATCCCACAACAGTATGAAAGTTCTTTGAAATCAGAAGAGTGTATCTTCTTGAACCGTGTACCCCTAAGGCCAAAAAAAATGCTTGTGGAATAAAATGAGTGCTGCTGCACACTAATATGGTTGGAACATGCACAGCCCAATACAAATCCACTACTATTAATTGGATGAGAACACTGAATTCTGAGCATATCATGTACCCCTGGGTGCAAGGCTGGTGACATCTGTTTTTGAAAATATAACTTTTATGATCAGTGATAAAGCCAGCATGAAACTAGAATACACTGGATCCAAACCATTCCTCTTTCCACCTTGCCACAGGTAGGCTTGCTTGGTGGTCTGATTACAAAGGTACAGACTTCCACACTATAACTTTTAATCCAAAAACCTAAACCAAAAGGATAGAAGTATGGATGCAAAATGAGCTTTTCCTTTGACCTCATTTGTGAGGAATAACTTCCACATTTCTAATCTAATGACTTAACCATGCTTGTGGTTCTCATGTCATTGGGAAGCAGTATTGGGCAAAGACAACTGCTCCCCAGCCCAGACACAAGATAGATCCCTCTGACCCCTTACTGTACCTTAGGTGAGCTGGACCAAACACAGATCCAACAAAATCACAAGATGAAAATCCCAAGCACCTTCCCAAAAGCCCTAGGCTCTGACCTGAACAGAAGGATAATGGACTGCAGGACAGCTACAGAACAGGAACAAAGAGAGTTAAGAAGAACCTAACTGCCCTAGCTACGGAAACAGGACTAACTAACCTTTCATCACCAACAAAAAGCAGTACACGGCCATGGCTGGGGGACAGCCAAGGACCGCCTAGATTCATATTAAGGAACACCAGAGGCCCAAGAGCTTCCTTGAACAGACCAAAACTGGACTGTGGGAGGAAAAATGATATGGCTCTCTCCAGGTTAAAAACAGGTGCTTCCATCAAGGCTGATGTTCCTAACAGCTAATCCTAACATGAGGGCTTTGGCCCAGTGCAGAGCTCAGAAAAGCAGCTACACTGACCTTGGTCAACTTTGCTGGGCAGGGCTCTGTTACCTATACGGTGGAAAGTGAGATCCTTGAAAGGTGATTACTAAAAGAAATTCAGCATTAGAAAGATGTTTTGAAAGAAGACTAAGTAAAAACAGGGAAAGCATGCTTGAGCACCGGAGACCTAGATGTTTAGGAGTGCCTATTTAGCCCAGGGCTACTTCCTTCTGAGGAGAAAGCCCCATGAAAATAGGTTTCCTTCTGAGGCTGCAATTCTGCAAGGGCCAGGATAGCTACTCAGCACTAACAAATGCCAGAGGCACAGGCCAGTATGTGGTTTCCTTTTGCTGAGGGCTCAAGTCAGAATTCTGGCCTCTGGCTCCCTACGTTCCTATAGAATGTAGGAATTCCTATAGAATGTGGGTAGGCAGGGAGAAAACAACAATTGTTCTGGCAGCATTCAGTACAAGACCATGATTCAATAAACTGTGAACAGAAAAGATGGAGTGAAGAGTAAGGTATTAAACAGCTGATGAGCAGTAGATGGCAATTCCTTTGTTAAAAGAAAATCAGATTTTGATAAATGTCTTATATATCACCTATAACCATGGCAACCACGTGCCCCAGGTTTCTCAGAACCAATCTCAGCATAAACTAATTCTTTTGTGTTCTTTGTCCACATGTTGATTTTGGTCTGAAAAATAGTCTCACTGTAGTTTATAGGCCCACTGTTCCTGGGAGACACACACCGGCTCCATGGATAAGCTGTCATTTTCTCCACCTGCAAATCAACAGGCCCAGATCCCCTCCTCAGGGGCTCTGGCCTACTTCTGACTTATTCTTGTCTACCCTAATTATATCCTTGGCTACTTGTATGACAAATCCGTTTCCTGACCATCCTTTCTTTCTTTCAGATGCCCATCAGATTAAGTACTAATCAACTGTCAATTATCTAGGCCTTGAATTCTTCCAGAGTAAAGAAAGAGATAAAAACTCCTACCCACTTGAGGTATGGGTTAGGAGTTCTCACCCAATCACATTACCATTCAGAAGGATTTTCCTGGATGACTTAAACCAAAAGCTTCATTGTTCCAGTCTGTCATGTCACTGCAGCAACAGCTGTCTTCTCAACTGTGCAGTATAATTTTTGACATAATTTATACAAGCACACAGAATTCAATCAGCAGCTGAGCAGGAAAGCAATGGTAACAAATGCTATGAATGGGTATATGATTTGCATATTATTCAGCTCATCTGTGGACTGGAGCAATCTATCCATTCCCCTGATTACTCTGAATAATCTAGAAATAGTTGAATGCTCCTGGCCAGACAGCTATATGTTTTAAAAATCAAAAGCACAACAAAAACCACCTCAGTGGCTAGTGAACTCTAGAGTTAAGGCTATTTCAAGCATTTATTCTTAATTCCTCAGCTTTGGACCGGGACATAGAGGCTCACGATCCTGCTATTTCCTTACTTTTTAGTCTTGATTCTCTAGCCACCCCCCCCCCCCAACTAAAAGGAAATGGCTAAAGAGAAGTAGGGCATTTCTTGGGGTCACGGATGGAAACAGAAGATCAGATAATGATCTCTCAATACAATGGCAAAGCAGGAGAAAGCCAAAAGGGAAATATTCTGAATAGGGACAAAAGGTTGTGTCAACATGCTAATGCCAGGGCCTGTATCTCTGAGGTGATAGTCTTCCACAAAAATGTATTTTGAAAAATAAAATACAACTGTGAGTTTGAGGGTGGAAAAACGGAAGAGCAATAATACTTTGGAGACTCTTGGTGGTAAATCCAGGAGTCAACAAAGCAGAAAATTTATGACTATAAATGCTATGAATACTTAAAATTGATACTGTGGCCAAGGGCTCCCCTCCAAGAACTCCCCACTGAAAATAATGGCATGGAGGGGAAACTTGGGTCCACTGAGAAGTGAGGGTCAGGTCTGAAGCCTCTTTGGTACCAGGAATGCTTTGGGAGGCCACAAAAGCTGGCAGGGCAGGAGGGTGCCTAGCACCTTGGCACAAGCAAGCACCAGGCAGTCACTCACACCTACATAAATATAGAGTCCAAATGTGAGGGATGGAAAGAAAAATTCATATATACCACATGTGATCATAAAGACAACTGTATCCTACCCCATCATCCTCATGTACAAATAGCTAAAAAATCTCCGCAGTTCCTAATCTTGTCATTTTATGACAGACTATACCACCTTGCAGAAGCAGAATCAGGGATTGCTAACAAGCAAGGCCAAAAGTCCTGGGGCTAAGAGCGCCTTAACAAATATGAGTGTAAAATTTCAAGTCCTCCAAGGGATGGAGCTATTCTGGGAGGATGAGTGGGGATAAACAACAGAGGGTGGCCCAGAGGACCACACCAGGAACCCTGTATTCTACTGGGTAGAGCTGAATGAGGTTGGGAAAGCCCCAACAGGTAGGCAGTTGCTATTGGCTTTTTAAAAAGATGGGAACATCTTTTCCATCCCAACATCTCAAAACAAAAGCTAACTGGTCATCAACATGTTCTAAGAACCAAAGCAAGAAACCAAAATTCATCATCATTACAACAAAATCCCCCAATCTAAAAAGGAACCAACCCTGAAAAGATCAAGACTCTAAGGTGATTAAAAAGTTAAAACTCATCTTGAGGTCACAGGGGAGCAGAAGGAAGAGATCAGGGCAAAGGAAAAAAGTGTGGGAATTACACACAGTATGTAAATGCCTGGTCTTCACAGAGAGACACTTATCATGAATCAGACCATCAGTTATGTTACAAGAGAACCAATACCAACATTTCTCCTGTGGAGCACAGTGATAAGCACATTTTTTATGGATGTGTTTAGGATAGAAGGGGGTGGGCAGAAGGAAGAGGAGGCAGGGAGGTGAATGTATTATATACAAAGAGAAATGACAGAGACCACCCCCTCCTTTAGCTCTTTGCTGTTTCTTTCTCTTTGTTTTCCGCATCCTCAGGATATGCATGCCATGTCAGTCTCTCTTCATAAAATGCTATCACAATCTGTGGACATTTTACATTAGCTTCTTTTGCAAGAACCAGGTCGGCTTCATCTGTGTCTTTCCTGGAGAGAGAAAATATGAGACTTAGGAGGAGAGGAAGTAAGAGCGAGAGAGAATCTATCTAAACCAAGGTTTAGGGGATCCCTGAGTGGCTGAGCCTAGGTTTAGCCCCTGCCTTCGGCCCAGGGCGTGATCCCTGCGCGGAGCCTGCTTCTCCCTCTGCCTGTGTCTCTGCCTCTCTCTCTGTGTGTCTTTCATGAATAAATAAAATATTAAAAATAAATACACCAAGGTTTATATTATATGGATTTAACCAACTTGATTTCCTCTCCATCTCGATTTCAAGGTGAGGACAACCCTAACAGCTCCGTATTTTCAAGGAGAAATTCAAGTAAATAAATTATCAGTGAGTATCATTTAACTGCTGCTACATCAGACAGAAGCGGAAGTCTTCAGCTAGAACTTAGATGGAAAACATAGCAGGCTTAATCAAAAGGCTGAAAATGGAGTCATATAAATTTTGCTCCTATAATTTTGATTTATATGTACTGAGTGAACATGATCAAATCTACATTCAGTCCTATTGATTATGCACAGAATGATCAATCCAGTTTCTGGATCATCTCAGTGAAAGGGTTAACCTTTCTCATCTTGTGGCCTTTTAAACACTATCCTTTTGGTGAGAACTATGGACTAGAATAGTAAGAGAACAGAAATTTAAGTCCACAACAGTACTTATATATAAGGAAGAATAAGAGCATGTAAAATCCAGTCACTAAAATGAAATGTAGGAATTAGCTGCAAATTTCAATTGTCCAAGTTACAAGAGCTCTACCAACGTGTATAAATAAAATTCTAGCCCTGGGTGGCTCAGTGGTTTAGCGCCTGCCTTCAGTCCAGGGAGTGATCCCAGAGTCCTGGGATCGAGTCCCACATCGGGCTCCCTGCAGGGAGCCTGCTTCTCCCTCTGCCTGCGTCTCCGCCTCTCCCTGTGTCTCTTGTGAATAAATAAAACATACATACATACATACATAAAAATCTAGCAAGTCCCTTAACCAGCATTCCAAATGGAGAAAGTATTATGGGTGAGGAAAGGAGGGGAAAACACACAGCTCAGAGCAGACACTCAAATTTGGACTGTGGTGGGAAAAAAAAAGCTAGTTAATGTATGATTATAAATCATACGTAACACATATGGCTGAGTGGGGAAAACAGTCAATACAGTTCCTTACTTCTGACAGAGTATAATGATTCTTCAAATCTAGGCTTCTGGGTAATTTACCAGCAAAATTTCGATCAGATAAAATATTAAACCTTTTGATTCTACAACTTCAAGGTAAATAAGCTTCCTCAGTGGCAATGCAGCATGAAGCCTCTCTTTAGAAACCAAACTTAAATCACAAGCCCAGAACACTGGAAACAGAGAGGTAGTGAGGGCCACACCATAAATCACCCTGTCTTTACGAAACCAAATTGAGGGGAAGTAACTACACTTTCCTCTAAGAGACACTCCCTCCACCGGATGAAATAACTTACGCTTATTTACGCTTTGGCTAGTATTAGTAAATGCTTTCTGTTGAGATTATTTTTCGCTCTTAGACATTATTCAGTTGTTTTGATCCTTAGTGATGCCAGAAAGCCTCACTCAACTCCCATCTCATGGCCACAGGCTCATGGTCTAACAGTAAATGATTCAGAACTGTGTAAATAAATGGTTAGGTCATGTCTATACGTTTCCTACCTCAAAGCTACCTTAGGTATTTGGGCTAAAATAATTTGGCTTAATACCAAGGCTTGAGAATGTCTTAAATCCACTCCCAACCATAATTTCCATTAATACTAATGGGTGATATAAACCAAAGATTCTTGACAATCAAAATTCTTAGTCGGGATATACTCTGCCTTCCTTCCCTATCTTCTATACAAATTCAAGCCACTGGCAAAGAAACACAACTGTACAGTGAAGCCCAATCTCTCTCACCATTTCATTAGGAACATTAAATCACCACAGGAATCTGTCGCCCCAATGATCTTTTCTGGTTCCAGTCCTCTCTCAAAGCCCCGAGCGATATCATTGCTCTGCTATAAATAGAAGATAAAGAAAAGGTTACAGTCTGGAGAAGAGTTAAAAAAAAAAGTTTCACAGCTCAACAAAGCCCAACCTAAGTTCATTTTTGTCACAAATTCAAAGAATTCTTAGAACTTAAGAAATACAATACTGGGCCAGCCAGTGACAATGACGCCAAGAAGTATTTTTGTTAGATGCAGTTGTCCTTCCACTATACTTTCACAGGATTACAGGCAGCCCCTAAAACTCTTTCATATCCCTTAAGATATTCTGGAGGCATCACCTAGGAACTCATCTAACCTTCTAATCTAATCTCCTTGATATTATGAATTCACTACTTCTCAATTGTTGCTTCCGAGATGATAAACAAGTCCATGCTTACCCGAACTAAACCCTTTTTCATTTTATAAACTCAAACGTACCACTTCTCCATCTTAATTTTTTTAGACATTTAGTTTACCTTAACACTGACCAATATTTTTAATATTTTTCACAGTCGTTTATATTTATGAAAGAACAGAGATAAGAATGATTCAAGGCAGTACCATAAAATAGCAAATCTCTTTCAGAGCTCACATACTGCACAATACCCACACACCTGGAGAAGAGGCCCTGGTCTGTGCCTAACCCCTCCTGATATGCATGAGTTGTTAGCACTAGAAAACAGAACTGGAGAGTGATTTAAAACAAACCAGTAATTTTCTAGATTATTCAAACTTGGTCAAAATGCAATCATGCAATCAAGACAAGGAGCACAGAGTCCTATTCAGGTGTGATGGCACTGATGAGAGCAAAACAGTGAAATTTTAGACAAACCAGGTAATTTTAAAAACCTTATTATGGAAGATAATGCAAGCTTATCTAGTGGCAACATAAAAAAGATTTTAAAAGACTGCTCAAATGAACCAGATCTCTGATGTCTGATTTTCATAATAAAATCTCTTTTATCTGACATTTACTCTGCCCCCCCTTTTTTTTGAGAGATACAAAGTATTCAGGATCCAGGTGGTCCCCAAAGATACCAGAACCAACACTGGGAAGGAAATTCCATGCACGGATCAGGGGAGATACTGACTTAAAAACACTGCCTCTTTTGGGGGCGCTTAAGGGGAGGAGGTTCCCAGATGTGCACACAGCTGCTCACAGCTGGAATGCTGGCACACAAACTGAGCTGTAAATCATAGCTGGCGGCTGAAAACAGTTTGCCACATAGAGAGGGAAGGGAAGAAAAATGTTCGAGCTGCTGAAAAGGAGCCGAGGCGAGGAAAATGCTAAAATCATCACACAGGCAGTAATCTTAAATCAGGCATAATGCCGACTAACAAATTTCTTCTGCAGTGGTCTAAAGAAAGAAACGTAATCCCCTCCTGTACCTTTAAAACATACAATCACCTATCTTCCTGGCTGCCTACCTGACAGCCGCCAGCACTGCTGAGAATGCTGTCAGGGACCCCAGATGAACATTACAAGGGACGCGTGGGGGTTGTTTTCAAGGTCAGCAGCATCAGAACCTGGCCCAGGAAAGAAACTTTCTATGCCGGCCAGTAGGTCTAAGCCAGACTGCTCCTTTTTGAAAGGAGAGAAACCCTAGGTTGAGGAAATACACACCGTATGTCACAAATGGCTAGTCCCAAGTCTTCTGCTGTGCTGTTTTTTGGTCTCTTTACTTAGCTAGAAAATGAATCAAACAACAAAAGCCAGAATAGAAAGGACTAATAAAAAAGAAAGAGCAAACCAGGTCTTAGCTCCTTAGAGAAGAGAAGGCATTCTCAAATTCCTTATCAGTACAGTATATCATAATGATATATACATACCTCACCAAAACAAAGTAGTTTTAAAAATATGGTTGCAAAAAATAAAATTAACCAGGGAAACAAAGAGATAGACACAAACCTAGAGTGCACTTTCACTTTTAGCCTCCAGTCTTTCACTCTTATTTCAATTCTTTTTGGAAAGCTGATCTCCCATTTTCTCTATCACTTGTTTAAGTCTTTTAAAATACTGATGTCTAGGGTCCAACCCAGAGAAGTCTGAATTTAACTAGTCTGAGGTGTATCTTGGGTACTTGGGTCTTTTTTTTTTTTTTAAGCCCCTCACCCACCCCTAGGGATTCTAATGTACAGCTAGGGCTGAGAACTAATGTTCTAGAAAGATGGGTATCAAGTAGAATGAAGATAAATAGAGATGCTTATGGTAGGGACACTAGAAAATTCTGAAGTGGACTTATGCTTTTATTTTATTAAATGTTAAGGGTATGATACATCCTTCATCACAAAAGGCTTCATAACCTTGAAATAAATGAAAGGATTGGAAGCTGGGGGGGGTGGGTAATATGTGTCTGTGTGTGTGTACAGATGGAAAATATACACATGAAAAAAAGAGAAGCTGGAACAGGGCTTATGCTAGTTATTCAGAGCTAAAGATCAGAAGAATTAAAGTAACTAAATCAAACCAAACTTTCATAAACACACGTTTTAAACTTAACAATAGGGATGCCTGGGTGGCTTAGCAGTTGAGCGTCTGCCTTCAGCTCAGGGCATGATCCTGGGTCTAGGGATCAAGTCCCACATCAGGTTCCCCGTAGGGAGCCTGCTTCTCCCTCTGCCCCTGTCTCTGCCTCTCTTTCTGCCTCTCATGAATAAATAAATAAAATCTTAAAAAAAATAAACGAACAATTCAAAAAAAAGATGAAAATTATTTGGAGTATGTAGAAATAATAGACTCAAAAGAGAATATACATGCCACTGAACTGTACACCTTAAAATGGTTAATTGCGTCTAGGCGCAGTCAGTTGAGCATCTTGGTTTCAGCTCAGGTTGTGATCTCAGGGTCTTGAGACCAAGCCCCAGGTCAGGCTCCCTGTTCAGTGGAGTCTGCTTGTGATTCTCTCCCTTCTCCCTCTGCCCTTCTCCAACGATGTATGCATACGTGCTCACTCTCTCTCAAATAAATCCTTAATAATAAAATGAAATGGTTTATTGCATGCTATGTGAATTTCACTTCAATTTAAAAATGAGAATTTTAAAGTTTGAAAATAAGTGCTATCTTTGAAACAAAAAAATGAGTAAACATTTTATTTTTTACTTTTTTTAAAAAAGATTGTATTTATTTATTCATGATAGAGAGAGAGAGGCAGAGACACAGGCAGAGGGAGAAGCAGGCTCCCTGCAGAGAGCCCAATGTGGGACTCGATCCCAGGATTCCAGGATCATGCCCTGGACCAAAAGCAGACACTCAACCGCTGAGCCACCCAGGTGTCCCATTAGTAAACATTTTTTTTTTTTTTTTTTTAGTAAACACTTTAAAGCCCCTTTTCTACACTTAAAAACTTCACCAAGTCCCTCCCTCACTAAGATAACTTTGCCTATTTATGAAGAAGACAGGAAGTGGTTACCTGTTTTACAGGGATTTAATTTTGCCACTCTACTACAATTCAGTGGAATATATAGTATATTTCCCAATCAGCCAGGAGAGGGAGCTGTAGTTAATCAAGATACCTCCTTGGAAGCTCTTTTGTTCAACAATTTACCTTGCAAGCCACCCTTAGAAAAGAAACCACCAAAATATTGCTTAGGAGGTTGGGGAGGTGGGGAAGAGGCAAAACAAATGTTTGTGGGAAAAAGGGGGAAAGAAGAAGCTTACCTCTCTCTTTTTTTTGGATTTGATATCATCAGCATTGTTCGAGAAATTGGATTTCCTCTTGTTACTTTCTGATTTCTCCCTGGGTTTGTTATTTTCACCCTCCTTCATCTTCTTATACTTTTTCATAAACTCAGAAATTAGCTCAGGACAATCCAAATTTTTCTCGGGTTCCCAAGTATTGTGCTCCCTGGGCACAAAGAATGGGGGGGGGGGGAGGAAAAGAATGAGGGGGGAAAAATCCAGTGCTTTCTTTCAAAGAAGACAAGTAGGCAAAAAGAAATAAGCCTTACACTTAAGAGATAACAAATTTGATCTTAGGAATCTATCTAAGAGAAATGAAAAAAATACATATCCACAAAGAAACTTGCACACAAGTACTTATAGCAGCATTTTAATAGCTAAAGACAGAAAACAATTCAAATGCCCATCAACTTGTGAATGGATGAATAAATGTGGTGTATCTATACAGGAGAATACTATTCAGCAAAAAAGGGAGCACAATACTAATTAATACATGTCACAACATGAAAGAATCTCAAAAATAATATGCTAAAAACCAGATGCAAAAGACCATATATTGTCTGATTCCATTTATATGAAATGTAAGAAAGACACATTTAGAGACAAAAAGCAGACCAGTGGTTTGTTGGGTTTGGGATTAAATACAGTTGAGCTCAAGAGAATTTGGGGAAATTATGGAAATATTCTAAAACTGGAATGTGGATTATAATGGTTGACAACTCTATGAATTTACTAAAATTCACTGAATGAATTTACTAAAATTCAACAAATGAATTTTATGGTATGTAAATTACACCTCAATCAAGTTTTCTGAAACTCAAAATAGGAATTCTGCTTTATAAAATAATGTGATTTCATACATATAATCATCTATGCAAATCCTGAGGAGAGAATACATAATAAATTGTGCACTCCCAGTTTTCACTATCTTAAGCATGTTACTTTATATTTTGAAAAAAATGTCAATAAATTTTTGGAGGATTGGAAGTAATTATTAAGAAAAAAGGTAGTTGGTAAGGGCTTAAATCATTAGAATATAGGCAAAATGTTAAAAAGACGACCCAGAAGTGGGGCTTCAATGCTGTGGATTCAAGTCTACTGTTACTAGTTAAAATATGTTTTCATATTAATTTAAAAAACCCAGGCTGAATAAATGAGTCTAATTAAGCTTGGATCAAGGGAGTCCTATTATGAGGAAAACAGTTATTATTCACAAAGTTGTTGTCTATTCCTGGCATGGGGTTTGGAAAACCAAACCAACTACATCATAAACTTATGCAACCAAAGCATGAAATGTACCTAACATGGGAAAAATCCGACCAGGAATGCTCTTCAGTCCTAGCCAGTGGCAAAAGTTCTTTTGGTTATTTGGTAATGGACTAATTTATATTAAAGTACATCTGAGGGATCCCCGGGTGGCGCAGCGGTTTGGCGCCTGCCTTTGGCCCAGGGCGCCATCCTGGAGACCCGGGATCGAATCCCACGTCGGGCTCCCGGTGCATGGAGCCTGCTTCACCCTCTGCCTGTGTCTCTGCCTCTCTCTCTCTCTCACTATGTGCCTATCATAAATAAATTTAAAAAAAAAAAAGTACATCTGAAAATATGTCATAGAAATGGTTTAAAAAAAAATGGTTTCTACAATCCTTTCATAGACTTGAGAAAAAATTATTTCATGTATGCACTATCCATTTTAAAAATTTTGTTTTTTAAACAAGGTATCTTTAGATGGGCATGGTTTGAACACACACCATAATGACTCAAATAAAAAGTAGAATAATGGAAAAATCTGATATTTACTCTAGATTTAAAACTTTCTGCAAAAAGAGCTTGAGAATGAAACAAAATTTATACTGAAATAATCTGAGCTAAAACTAGAAAACGCTTGCCTTCATAGCTCTTCTTTCAGCAAAAGACAAAAAAAAAAAAAAAAAAAACCCACCTCATACAGTAACTTTCCCCCAAATCCACAAACCATATAGTTTACTATCCCAGAAGAAATTAAGACACCAAAAGAGGCTTGCCAACACTGTAAAACACAAGCAAGCAAGCAGACATTGGCGGGGCGGTGGGGGGGGTGGGGGTCTCAAATGATAAGGAAAGCCAGTACTAAAATGGGATTATCTCTTTTCCTACCATATTGGTATGGCTGCTTTTACATCAATCAATTTTTACCCAAAAGATAGCATGGATTAATTTTAAAAGAGCCTGGGAATTAGGGCCAAAGAAATCTGACACTAGATCCTTGTGCCAGCACTTACCAGTTATGCTATCTTCAGCAAATAGCTTTGTTAAACTTCCTCATCTGTACATTCAAAATACCTCTAAAGGCTGTTATGAGAATTAAAGAGAATCCATGAGGTAGAAGAATCTGATCACTGCCTAGCAAACAGCAGGTACTTAGTTACAGACAATGCTAATGGGGCAAAATCTGTTCCAGTCTGTAATGAATTCCCGGGCATTTCCGAGAAAGTAAGGACAAGTGCTTTTAATTCGTCTGCCCCAAACTTTCTTTCCCTCTTTAATCAATGTAAGTTACCAGTTACTGTAACTCAAATACAGATATAGTCCTAAGTACCTTCAAAATGACCAACAACTTCCAATGGTAATTCAATGGGCCCAATAAACATCCTTAAAACCTTTTGGTGTTATTTTAAATTCTTATTTCTAGGTCTCTCAAACTCGTAATTTCTCATCTCTAAAGAATGCCGTGATACGATTCCTCTTTGGAATATAAAGGGCATATTCTGATTGCTGTGCTACCCATATTTAGTGCTGTGTGCTAGAGATGCTAAGCATCCTATAGTGCATGGACTATCCCATCTAAAATGTCAAAAGTGCTCCAAATGAGAAACATTGATTTCCATAATGAAAGAACTTTATGTTCCAAAGGCTCCTGATTCAGACCTTTGTCCAAAGGTACTATCAACACTTGAACCTTTTACTATATTTAATAAGTCCTATACTTTAAAGCTGTGATATTCAATATGTTAACATATTGTGTGGCTACTGAACACCTGAAATGTGACTACTATGAACTGAGATGTGCTATAAAATGTAAAATATACATGAGATTCTTAAGATATTAAAAAAAGTAAGATATCTTAATTTTATATTGGTTAATGTTAAAACAGCACTTTGATATACTGTGTTAGATAAATTAAAATTAATTTCACTTTTCTTTAATGTGGCCAACAAAAATGTAGAATTATAGACATGCTTTGCATTATATTTCTATTGCACAGCCACTCCAAGAAGCCTACAACAGTTTCTACCACTGCACTAGGATTCTAGAAAATCCATTCTTTGTTATCAGGCATCCTGGGAAGATAATTAATCAGAAATTGAGGCAAAATGTCTTAATGATTACACAGATTTCACCTTTCAAATTACCTCTTCTGTGTTTCAATGTGTCTAGTTCTATTTACTCCAAGGAAAAAGAATAATCACCTCTAGCACTTCAGCATAAAGCCAGTTACTTCTTAAGAGACATTCTAGTCAATAATCAGTATTATTCTTAAAGCTGACTTTTAAAAAAAGGGTTTCTGAGGTTTTCAAAAACAAAAACAAAAAGCTAGACTTAGTGTTGATTGCAGAAACTAGGTGGTGTGCATCTCAGTGTTTACTCAATTTCTTTTGCCTCGGCTGTAGATTTGAAATTAAAAAAATAAATACTAGGGGGAAAAAAATGTGGCCTCAGATTTAAGTTTCTCATTAAGATGAGTCCTTCATCCTAGGTCACTTGTAAGATCCAAAGATCATTTTAGAGAGGTATAGGCTATGGAATAGACAACTTCTGCTTAAATGTATATAATTTTAGCTTAGTTATATGCAAAAGAATATTAACAGTAAAAGTTTATGGTTTTAAAGATTTTGTTTTTAAGTAATCTCCACCCAGTGTGGGTCTCCAACTCACAACCCGGACATCAAGAGTCACATGCTATACTGACTGGGCCAGCCAGGTGCTCCAGTAACAGTTTATACTTACACTAAGCTTACCTGTCAGGCTCTACATATACCCAACATCTCTATGACAAGTACCATTTCCTATTCCTGTTTTTTTGAGGAGGAAAAAGATTAAGGAACTAAACCAAGGTCACCCAGCTCACAAGTGGTGGAACAAAATCCGGACCTAGGCAATCTGGCTCCACATCTATGCACCTAGCCAATTCATTATACTCTCTCTCAAAAGCGTTATCATTAAAACACCAGCTCCAAGGGAGAAGAGACTCTTTAATTTATTGCTACGTCTTCAAACTCTCAGGAGTGCAAGTGAGGAGGGAAAAAGACAAAGATGGCAGTGGCTCATGGGGAAGGAAAAAAGGTGTCCACCTCTACAGAGTCCTAAGGCCTAAAAGAAGGCACTTACTCAGAAAAGCCTTTCCACTTCAGTAGATATTCCACTTGCCCCTTAACTACACGCCTGTCTAGCACCTTCTCCACGACATACTCCTCCTCATCCTCTGAAGAAGAACTGTCAGCTGTCCGCTTGGTTTTCTTTCCCATGTCGCAAGCTGTTCCACCTGAAGGACTAAGGCCACCGGGTTCCTGCAAATAGGAAGGACAGTATGGTCAGAATCCATGCAAGAAGTTAAAACTTTGTCTCTTCTTGATGGAATGCAGGGGGTATAACACAAAGTTGCCATGTACCCTTCTCTTGGGTCTTGATGCATTCTAGATGAGTCCTAAGAACATAAGCAAAAAATGGGTCAATCACCACTTTCCCAACCACAACTTTCTTATCAGCTCACAAGGCCAACATCATTATTATAGACACAACTGTGTAACTTCTCTAATTTCATATTCCAAAGACAAGTGGTGTGGTATATTACTCCTGAGTACTTCTATAACTGTTTTACAAGCCAGGAGCTCAAATAAATGCAGAAAACTATTAGTTAAAATAACAGTGATAGAATTAAAACCTTTCCCTATAAGGTGAATAAGGTTCTTCATAAAAATGAAAAAAGAGGGGCACCTGGATGGCTCAGTTGGTTTCAGTTCATGTCATGATCCCAGGACTTCTTGTAGTCAGGCTCCCTGCACAGCAGGTAGACTGCCCCTCCCCCTGCTTCTCTTTTATGTTTCCTCCCAAATAAATAAAATCTTCAAAAGAAAAAAAAAAAAAAAAAGCTCCAAAATGTAACCTCAGCCCGGAGAATCTTGTCTAGTCTCTTAGCAAGCTCAGGTATCTTTTACCACTGTCTTCAGTGACTTGGTATATCTCTTTCTCCCTTAAACAAACTGAGTTTGTCCCTACAGAGCACCCATCAGTTCACAAAAACAAGGCTGGCATCTCAGACACACTAAGCCACCTTTTTCACTTGGGGATGGGAGAGAGGCAGAGAGAAGAAAATAATTTTAATCCAAAAAATAAAAATTAGTTACTGGATTGTTCAGTAATTCTCATGGCTCAACTAATCCAAATAGTTGAGGAGGTACCTCTCTTAACTGGAGTTGACTTTGGGCCAAAGGAAGAAGAGGAGGAAAAAGAAAGAAGTCTGGCCCCAAACTCACATCAACATGAAGCCTCAAAGCACAGAGGAACCATTCATAGGCCCAAGGAAAGCTGAAGCAAGGCAACACAAATGGAAATTGAGTTAAGCTCAGAAATATGCACAACCAGGGGGTACTCAACACAGAATCTAGTTTTTTTAAATTCCCACATTGTTGTCTCCATAATCATTTTTAAGAATTTTTCTTTAACCATGTTAAATGGTGCCTACAGTCTGGAATATAGAGTAGCAGAAATTGTTTTCTTAGCTGAACTCCATTTTTATTTTTCTGTAAGCTTAAAGGATTTCAGCACTCTCTAAAAATATTTCCATTCTGACTAGAAGACGACTCCCAGGAACAGGAAAGGCCATCACTACTAATCTCAGAACTGTGTTCAAGTCAAGTAACATAAAAAGTTGCATTTACCAATTTACTTCAAGTTAGCAAAATTTAAGGAATTATTCCAAGAACATCTAGTTGGAAACCACATCTCTAGAACCTACTAGCAATAGGTCTGCCCACCCAAAATACTGTCTGTATCCACTACTGCCCTGTAAAAAAAAACTTAAGTTTTTATTAAAGTACTGTACTTGGAAAAGGAGGTGGAGGGGGAGAATGTAGACAGGAGTTTCAAAATATTTTTTCCATGAATTTAGAAGAGTCCTAAGCCTCAAGAAAAAAAAAAAAATCTTATTTATTTAAAATAAAAACAGCCTCTAACCTCACCAGACAGGAAATGTCATATTCCAGGGAGAGTACCCCACCCCCACCCCCACTCACCTTGGAATTTCCGGGAGCTGAGCAGTTTAGGTCAGAGCGGGGGTTAAAACCAGCCCCGGGTTAGATGCATGCAGTTAAGCATTGTGGCTATGGCCTCCCCTGCCTCACGAGGAAAAACAAGGATTTACATATGTGTTCTTCAGTTTGAGGGAGGAGAGAGGAAAATCTCCCTTTATACCTTCATGCAGAAGAGGAACCCCAAAGGTAGAAGATGAATGGGGGTTCCCTCCTTTACCTACCGGATCGCCCCAGTTCTTTCTTTCCCTCTGGGCTAACAGGAGGGGCCTCCCCTCCCAGGTCTGGGGCTTGGCGGGCTGGCAGCTCCCCCGCCCCCACCCAGCTGCCTGGGAGCCACTGCGCAGCTGTCCCAGCCCGTTGCCATGGCAACTGGCAGCAGTACTAGACTAAGGGGGGGGAGAGGCAAACGGAAAAGTTAAAAGGCTTAACTTTCCTTTTCAGTGAAGACTGGGTGGAGAAGTTGGAAGGTACTCCCTTGGTCTCAAAGCAAAGGCATTCAGAGCTCAAGAGAATTGGTTCTTGCGTTTTAAACCCAAAACCTGTGCTTATTCCTCTAAGAGCACTGGGAATTAATCAATAGCATTTTAAGATCATCTAACAGGCTTATAGCTCAACTGGAAGGGGGAGGGGAAAAGCTAGGCCCTTCTACAACAGGATCAGTACAAACCACTCACCCCTAACCCAGCCCACCAGAAGCACTTTAAATAAGGCCTTTTTTGCCATCTGTCACTGAACAGTTAATTAAAATTGCTTCGGGGATGAGGGGATAGCAGGAAAGGGGGGGAAGGGAAGTATTTCAGGATACTATACAACTTTCCTTCTTTGGGGGATTACTGGATACAGAAACACAATCCAGACACTTGAAGCACTATTAAAGAACCTATCCACCGAAATTAACAGGTAGGAAAAAAAATGTAATCCTTATGTAGTTCTTAAAAAAAGAGGGGAGAACAGTTCAGCCACAACTGTTATTGAGTTAAAACCACTTTTCATTAATTGTGACTGTAACGTTATGAAACAAATTTTCAAATAACTACTACCCACCTGAAGCATTAAGATATAATAATTTAAAACTCCGTATCAATAATCCCTAATACCTGAAATAAAGGATGATAGAGATAAAGAAAAAGAGCTACTTAGAGACCTGCAGCCCCATAAAGTTTCTTCTCTCTTGACCCTAAAGAACATTTTCGAGAGCTCTAGAGCCTTTTGCTTTACGGTTCAGGTCTTTAGAGCCAGAGGTTGCTGCCACAGGAAAAGGGATAATCAAAAGCAAAGAACCCAACTGAGGAAAGAACTAGAAAATAGTGATTAATAACAAATTATCAAATAGAAGAAATTTTAGGGTATAAAAGTAGACAGTTCTTAGCTACAGAAGGTTTCCTCAAATTTGAGTGGAACTGTCAGAAAATGGGTAAAAACTGCCTTTTTGGACTTTTTCCTATAACTTTTTAATACTTTTTGTAATTAAAGGATATAAAAATAATGCCAAAGGAATTAGATCAGGGTTCTAACTCTGTGATTAACTTGCCATGTGTGATCTTGAGTAAATAATTTGAGATTTAATCCCAGAATCACTAAAATGGGCCAAATCCTCATGGCCTACCTCCTAGGGAAGTTTATAAAGAGACGAAAGAGCTGGTAAGTCCCCCAAAGAGAAGCTTTTATAAAAATATAGGGCCAAATACAACAGCAGCAGGAAATACTTGACCTTCCAAATTCCTAAGCCGTTAAACCCTATCACATGCAGTAACTCCTGCAGCTCAACATGTTAGTAGATAGCAAGAAAGAAGTAGCTGTTAAACTAGGCACCAGTAAACTAATAAAGCTTCAGAGAATAAGCAGCAGGTACATTCTCTCTTAAGGGTAAAAATACTTATTCTTACTCCTTAAAACTCAAAAGCACTGGAGATAGCAGAATGAAACGACTAACAGTAATTCTGTGAAGAGATAAAGGACAGGAAAGGATGACAGTAACATTAATATTTTGGTGAAACCTTTCAGAAAAAAAGAAAAGTAAAACCCACAAAGAAAAGGACAAAAATACTCTGGTGTCTACCCCTTCCCTAAAGCATCCGGAAATAATGTCAGATCAATTTCCTCCTTCCCACTCCTTAAGAACTACCTAAAGGGCACCCGGCTAAGGTCCCTTTCTCTTTGGGAAATGGGTTTTGTAACAGCTGACAAATCAAATTGGGCCTGATGCCAGGAGTCAGAGTCCAACCATAATATTCTGTAAAGAATGGCACGCAACTGTCTTGTAAATCTCCTGGACAGTCACAGATCAGAAGCTGGCAAGGATGACGACATAGTTCTGATGGAATGTGTCTTATCTTAACCTTGAAGTTACAGATCTGCTCAGGAGCAGCAGTAAGAAATGAGAAATGCACTCAGACAGTGGAGGGGATATAATTCTCTTTTAGACACTGCGACCCAGAGTATTAGGGTCAAATGAAACACAAAGCCAGACGGACAATTTAAGACCAGCGCCTGGACCAGATAAAGCATCAAGAATGGTGGTTCACGCTGGGCTTGAGAGGAGGGAGCGCTCAAGTAGGAGAAATGAGACATGGCTGGCAGGATGATGGAGTGATTAAGGTAGAATCCCGATACCATGACGAAGGAAGAGAGGATGAGCCTCAGAGCGCAACCCTATCCTTGTGGAAATCTCCATAGGAAGGGGTAAGCAGTTTCTCAGGTTTCTAGAGTCTCTCGGGCATAACAGCTCTCAGCCCTTTCTTGACTACACACAGTAACTGGTAAAGGCATCAACAACTATAGACAGATGCCAGCAATTCAACTGCCCATCAGGACATGAGAAAAGAACAGGCCCCACCAACTGTTCGTATCAATGATACAAGGCAAATTCACCTTACAGGCCTCCGATGGCTGGGCAAAAAAAAAACCTAAACCAGGGATCTGGTGAGAAGTCAGCATTGGAAAAACATCAAAGAGCTTTGTGGTCAGACACAGTCAGAACCCACATTCCAAGTCGATGACAGGAGACTTCTTTAACAGATAAATCTTCCAGGAAAAAAAAAAGGGGGGAAGAGGTGAGGCAGCAAAGCAGAAAGAAAAGAGACCAAAAAATCCCACTCAGTATAAGGGGGGAGGGGGAACCATTAAAATCAGTCCCCAGAACTTAGGCCATTAGAGAAAACTGGGGCAATCCAGAACAACAGAGGTTGCGTTTATATCAATCCTGGAATCACAGAATCACCCACACAGGGTTTCTGGGATCCGTTTGTCCAGTCCAG